CCCCAAAACCCCAAAACCCCAAAACCCCAAAACCCCTGAAAAAGCACATTGTTGAATTATTCAATCTTGACTAGTGTAAATTAAATATTTTCAACGTAATTATGAAGTTACAGGTGTCATTTAATTTTTTGGGTTATTTCTGCATGAAAGGCTCTAGTGGCCTTTTAAGAGATATTCAAACTGTTGGATTCCTTTGACATCCTTCGTCAAGGACATCATCTAGGATGTTCTCAAATCCGGTCTCAAATATGTCTATTTTGTCCATTCTGTTAGAAATTTTACGGTGAGATCGGGATAATTTGCTTTGATTATTGGGACTCTTGAGTAATCTCACAAAGGAAGAGTGTGATTCACGGTAGCTCTTGCCATTATGGTGGTTGACTGAGTCGCTTTCGTCCACATCTTCTTCATTAATCTGATCTAATCTTTGGTTGTTTATAGGTGGGTCAATTTTCTCCTTAGCATCCTAAACTTGGTGAGAGGGTACTAAACGTACATGTTTACTGAAGGAATCCTTGGAGTTCTTCTTCAAGAGTTTCCCAGCAATCACTAAGCTATTCTTAGCATCTCCTGAGTCATCACAGATTCTGTGAGGGATATTTTTGTTAGGAAGATTTGTAAATTTACCCTTCATGCTTTGACTTTTAAGTGAAGATTTTTTACTGAGACCCGGCAGATCTTTCCGTGGATTCACTATGTTCTCTCCTTTTTTGTAATATCTATTGTAGATATACTTGATCATCGTCTTTCGAGTGAATCTGTTTCCAATTCTTGCATCAAAAGTTTGGTCGTGGCCTAGCTTTTCAAGAGGGTAGAATTCACTTATTTCTTCGCATTCATCTGGGTCAGTGAAGGAAATTAGGGCATCTTTTATTTTGATTGGCAATTTGTTGACTTTTTCTATCAGACATCTGGATAGAGTGGTATAATCATTCTTTTCTTGATATTGTGAATTTGATTTGAATGTAGAGTATTTTGTCTTGGAATAGATCACCTTGAAAATCTCAAGTGCAAATTCATGGACTTTGAGGGATTTCTTAAGTCATTCAGAAGTGTATCTAGAGTTTGGTTTATAATCTTTACCTTGAGTTAAGGAGGCAGTAGCAGAACAAATAACACACATCTTTGAGATCATCAGCTCTCGTTCTTCCTGACAATGAGTACATTTTCGAGAGGCAGATTTTTGAAAGAGTAGGTGGGATTTTCAAATCATTACTTTCATGTTCTTTTTCTTGCTTGATATGATTTGAGTTCCTTTCTCCCACAGAGGGAGAGGATGAGCACTTTTCAATAGGGCGACTAGCAGTAAAATTCATGATCGATACCTAAATTATCAACTTAGTACCACCCAAACAGCATGAGAGTAACTAATAAAAGCTTAAAACTTACCTCGAAATGTCTTTTTGGGCTATTTCTCTCTATCCCGAGTATGTTTTTGATTAAAGTTTTGCTATTGCTCCTCATTCTGAATGTCTTTGAGCCAGTTCTATTAGAGCCAATAAAGTGGCTGACGTCCTTCTGGATAATCTTGTCCTCTCCCGTTTTAGCCAGAACGGAATCATCATTACAAAAGTAAGGCGAGCAATAGACATGCTCTGGTTCAATATTGTTATACGTATACCCAGCAGAGTGAATCTTTCGAACCAAAAGTATGATTTTTGCAAATATTTCACTCAGTTCCTTCACAGAGAGCTTCTGTGAAGGATCAGTCTCTAGTAGGAACTCCTTCATACTCCTTCCAGGGAGCTTCTCCAGGATCACTGCTTCCTTCTGACCTATGCTGAGGGTGGCTAGAGCTTTCGGAAATCCAGAGGAATGGACCTGGTTGAGTGACTCTAAAATCTCTATTTCTTCTTCATCACAGATTTGGATCAAGACTTGTATTTCAGAGAGGGTTCAAGCCAGAATTCTTCAGTTCGCATCTTCCTTAATTACTTGGTTTATCTGAATCATTTCTAAGAGAAGTTAGGTGGTGAGCTTTGGGTGAATAAGAGCCTGGAATAACTAATGTCTACTCTAATATCCTAGAACAGTTATCCGAACTCCTGCTATCTTCTGGGTGCCCACTTTCTAAAATTTTGAATTCTCTATTGAAAGCTTCTCAGAGAATTTCACCAACTGAAAACCCAATTTTTTGGAAAAGTTTGATTCTTCTAATTCAAGAATCCGATTCATTATCTAAACTATATAAAATTGTTTCACTGTGTATATATTTTGATAACTAGAGTAAAAGGAATTTTGCATTAATTCTAACAGATAGAATCAAACCCCAAAACCCTATCTTAAAGTATATCTACCAATTTTCTCCCTTAAAAGTCCTCTTTTCTGTCTCCACATCTCCTTCTGCCTGATCCTACTTACCCACAGAGGCTCTAGGTACCCCTTCCGCCCCAAATTCCTCCAGAACGACTCTTTGGTCTTCTTGTATAGCTCCTTTTCACTGCTCCCAGTCTGTTCCTTCTGCAGCACCAGAATCAATTTTTCCAAGAACAAATTTCCCTCTCAAGACAGAGGGCTTGGGAGGGGAATTAACTTTGGAGATTTAGAAAGGAAGAAGCAGATTTTGAGGTGAGGAATTTTGGAGGTTAGTGGACTGGTGAGCTTTAAGTGTGAGAAGGGATGAGATTTGGACGTCGGAAGGGGGTTTTGGGGGATTGAGTGGGAGGAAAGGAGGGTGGAATGGTGACGAGTGGTGTGGAGTAGAATTTTTAGTGGATAATGATTGATTTGTGATGTTTAGAGTCACCAACTTACATTTTACTGGGTTTATATATATATAATTTCTCCTCATAACTTGGGGTTTTGGGGTTTTGGGGTTTTGGGGTTTTGGGG